AATTACTCCTATTCAAAGTGGAGTTTAACCTTTTCCTGCAGGAGTAGTGTGAAAACTGGAGAAAATGTATGCAGGAATTTTGTAGGTACTCAAACCATCTTCTTTTGCCCAGTGGTAGTGTGTGTAATTATGGTATTATCTCTTCAATTTCATGGGAGACTTAAGTTTAGGTAACTTATGTGGCACATTTCCTGTAGGCTAAAACTTGACTTCATCTCTCACCATGATTTACAACTTGGAGATGATAGTGTGGTTATCTTGGAGGGAAAGAAAAAAAACAAGGCATCTTGAAGAAGTTTGCTTTGGGTTTAAGTAGATATTTTGTACCTGTATTCTTTTATACAGATTTAATTATGCACGGGGGACTTGGGGGAGATTGGAAGTCTTACTGGTTTGACGGGAAATGCAGAGTTCTTTGTATCATCTCAGGTCAATAGGACTAATGTTTCATCCAGCCTAGTGCAGGCAACAGCTGGATGAATGGTCTCCTTGTTCTTACAGAATGAGGCTCAGTATGCATTTTGTGTTTAGACCCTCTGATTCTCTCTCCACCACTCTCTCACTGGATCTTTGGGACAGGCATTATTGCAGCAAAAATCAGAGGGCTGCAAGTACGTCTTTTCAATTATGTCAATCCTTAGTTTGTTCATCTCTCTAAAGCCTCCATTTCCACTTCAAAGAAGTGACACTTTGACAACATTTGATAACAGACCTTATTGAAGTGCCCCAGATTCTAAATGCCCACTCACTTGGACATGAGCTTAGAATTTTTCAATGAAGACTTTTCTGATATAAGAAAATCTCACTACTTGGAAGTAAGTGAATCAGTATTAAGGAGTTTAACAGTTTGACAAGTTTACTTTTTTTCATTTCAGGAAACATAAAAACTGAGGCTCACAGCCATTGTGGTCATTGGGTCAAAGAGTTTGTACCAAGGGGAATGTGAGTGCCGACCTCAGAATGTGGTTGTGAAGATTAAAGAAACCCATACACGTAGGGTGTTCAGCACAGTGCCTGACAGAGGAAGGCAGTGTGATTTACCAGATTAATTCCTGGGGGTAGCCTGCCAGAAGCTCCAGGACAGCTTCTGTTAGCAGGTGCTTACCGTTTGACTTTAAAAATACATCCAGAAAGAAGCTATTCACCAAAGACCACACTGTGTATGATTCCATTTCTAGGGAATGTCGAGAATATCCAGGTCTCTAGAAACAGAACATATTACGAGTGGTTGCCTTGGGCTAAGAGTAGGATGACTTCCCAGTGAACGCTAATGGGTACACAGCTTATTTGGGGGTGATGAAAATGTAAAAGTGATTGCATAACTGGATGCACAGGTCTGCACACACAGAAAAAGAAAATTGTGTACTTTAAGTGAGTGAAATAACTGCATGGCATGGAAATGATATCTTTCTGAAGACACTGGAAATACATCTAGATGCTTAGAACTGGAGGGCATCATGTTAAGTAAAGAAAATCATAGAAATAACAAATACTACTGGATGATCTCACTTATCTATGGAAAAGAGAGACAAAACAAGAAAATAGTACTGAACAATGATAAATCCTTGATCTTGGATTATGAAACCTATTAATAAATATTGGGAGAATCAGGGGGAAATTAAAATCAGACAAGTGGTGGTATTAGGAACAGTGATGGAGGGTCATGGGGATTTTGGTGCTGGAGGTATGCAAAAGCTTTTTATATCGATACTATAAATTTAAACACAATTGTAAACATATCACCTAAACTATAATAAAAAAACTGTAAAGAACATTTAGAATTCCAGTCTTGTTTTGTATCCATGTCACCACCACGAAGGACCAAGCAACTGGGATTTGTTTTTTGGAGCTTATAAACTAACATAGCTTCATCACCTGTTTTCCCCATTTCCCTGTCACTGCCCATTCTCCATAGAGAACAAGTCCTGCAAGGTGATGAGCTAGACCTGCTCACTTCTCTCTCAGTGATCACCACCCTTGGTTCACTTCTCTGCAGTTCCACCATGCTTCTTCTTCACATGTTAATCTCCTTTCTGCTTGCATTGTTTCCTTCCTACAGGCTCTTTTTCTGTCTGGATTTTACCCTTTGTGCCTTCCATGGCTATTTCACTTAGAAGAGATGCTTATTTTATTTTTATCAACTTGATTTTAAATAATTTCTTCTCCAATATGAGGACGTTCAGTTTTTCTTATGGGCATTCATCACTATTAGAGCTTATATTTTTATTGATGTGTTTACTTTTTTATTGAAAGTTTTATTTATTAGCGTGTAAGTTCTATGAGAACAGGGTTTTTGTTTTGTTCATGAATTGCATTCCTAGTACCTAGAATGAATAAATCAAGGTTCTGTAGTGACTGTGGATACAAAGATGTTATCCACATACAACCTCATTCATTTTTCATATATACATCTTGTTCTGTAGCCTATATGGATCTCCTCATGCGTTTTAAAGGTTAAGTTCTCAGTGGTATGTGTGGCGGGGAAGTTCCTTGAAATCTCCTTTTTAAAACCATTTAGTATATTCTACCTGGATCCAGATAGTAACTGGATCTGTATAGTGATAAATACTATCACAATTTGCAAGAAAAATCCAAGAAAACATACAAAGATTTTTTTTGAGCCTACAGTTTTGCCAACTATTTATTTTTTAAAAATTATTATTTACTTTTTTGGGGGTATGGTGCTGCCAGCAGGTCAATCTGTACCTGTGAGGTGAGTGCATCAGCAGCCTCATGGTGCCTTCAGACTTCCAGATACCCCAAAATTGCTGCTGTGCCTTTGGCAAGACCCCAAAAACTTGGGGCAAAGTTTACCAAGAAAGTAAGAGGCCAAAAGTTAGGTATGTGGGAGACACACCCACAAACCACCTCTGGCTCAGCTATATAATTGGAGGCATGGCCTTTGGTTCCTGATCAAACTGCTTAACGGCCATGATCCCAGAGACTCAGAAACAAATCTCGAAATGCATCTGGACTGCATACAAGGTGGCTGCCGCCTCAGAGCTTATTGGAAAGTCAGGTATGAGCTGGCAGTGATGGGGCAACTGCAGTCTCATAGAAAGGGTGGCGGTACCAGCTCGTCCTTCACACCCTATTGAGGTCACGAGTTGCCCCCCACAAGCAGCTCTCCGACACAGCCATGGCTCCAGAGGCAAAAGGACTTAGTCCAGAGCCTGGCAGCTTGTGGCAGTAAAGTGAATGGACCACACATTAAACTCCGGCGCCATGCCTACCCAAGAGGGAAAGGGTGTTGCTCCCTTCTGCCTTCTTCCCACCCCCCGCCAGGCAGCAAGGTGGCCCCTACCTCAGAGCTTATAGGAAAGCCAGGTATGAGTCAGTGGTGATGGGGCAACTGCAGTCTCATGGGAAGGGGAGTGGTACTGGCTCGTCCTTCACCCCCTACCAAGGTCACAAGTTGGCCCCCATGAGCGGCTCTCTGGCACAGTTGTAACACCAGATGGACAGAAACCAATCTCGTAATTTTCTGGCTCTTTGCAGAAATCCAAAATCCCACGCGACATTATATGATTCTCATAACCAGCTATAGAAGACAAAGTATTTCACAATGCCTTTTCAGCAATTCAGCAATTCTGATTGTTGGGGGGGGGGAGTTCTAAACAATAATAGTGCATCTTTTGTCGAAATAATGAATGTAATCAATGTAGAGAAGAGTTAAGTAGAAATCATCTGCCTCACAGGCATTGGGAGGGGTGGGAGGGGGGTATATTGGGGTTCTTGGTGGTGAAAAATGAGTACTGGTGAAGGGAAAGGTGTTTGATCATCGTATGACCAAGACTGAAACCTGAAAGCTTTGTAACTTTTCCCACAGTGATTCAATAAATAAATATAAGAAGAAAAATAAATAAAATTATAAAAAAAATAAGGTGGAGTTCATGCCCAATTCTATCAGCTAATCAGTGGCTGAATAAATAGCAGCAATCCTACATAAAAAATTATTATTTGCTTTTAAACTTGGGGCACTGTGATTTATAGTTCTATTTTTAAAGGTTTTCATATATACAATGTCCTAACTACACCCTCCACCAGAGTGCCCTTGTCCTCAAACTAACTCTCCCTACTCAGTTCTATAGGTCAGATCTCAGGTTCTGTTTGCCCTTGGCCATTTGTTATTCCCTTACTGTGTTTCTTTATATCCCAAATATAAGTGAAATCATTCTGTATCTGTCTCTCTTCTGACTCACTACACTCAGCATTATATCTGTAGATCCAGCCACATAGTAGCAAATTGTGTGATTTCATCTTTTCTTACTACTGAGTAGTATTTCATTATATCTATATGCCATACCTTATTTAATTTGACACCATGAACTATGTAGTTGTTTACAATGGGTTTTCAGTTGTACAATGTTGTTCCCATCTCCAATCCCACCAATCTGTGCCCTCATCACTCCACCACTTATCCCAATATTCATCAAGGCTCCCTTATCTGCCTCAGCCTGACTCTGACTGTTACATTTCTAAATAACTGTTTAATTGTAGCTTGGGTTTCATGCTTACAGAAGTGTTGAATCTGATGGTTTAGATTTACATGAATATTTTTTCTCTATGGCTGGAGCCATAGCACAGCGGGTAGGGCGTCTGCCTTGCACGCAGTCAACATGGCCGACCCGAGTTCGATTCCTCCGCCCCTCTCGGAGAGCCCGGCAAGCTACCGAGAGTATTCGATATGCCAGACACAGTAACAACAAAGTCTCCAATGGAGATGTTACTGGGCCCGCTCGAGCAAATCGATGATCAACGGGAGGGCCTTTACTTTACCTTTACTTTACTTACTTTTTTTCTCTATATCCTAGAGTGGCCCAAGGCCTCTGACCCTTGCCCCTATGTTACCCCCAGACCTCCTATTATTGCTTTCCCCTTCATTCCTCTCTTTCCTTTTTGCCAACTATTTCTATGCTAAGATTAACAATGACTATTTTGGTGCCAAAAAGCAGGGCTCCAAGTTTTAATTACATGCTTTGATTATCAGATTTACTTACAGTGTGGACTCTCTCGAGCCCCCGTTCTCAGGAGAATCCTAGCAATGGGTACATTGTTGGTCATGATGGCAATGTCCAGGGGCGTCAGTCCCTCACTGTTTGGTGTGTTGAGATCTAATTCTTCTGGTGTATATTGATATAGAAGGATTTGCACAGCATCCATGTCTTGCTGTTCAACTGCTTCAAACATAGCTTCATTGCCCTGGAAGTTCTGCAGGAGAACAAAAGCAGTTTAGCACAATTTTGTAGACTAGTTGTCAAGATTTAGTGGTTTTAAATTTTATTATGCTTATAAGTGCTCTAATGGTGATGTATCTGGAGGTCTCCAAAGTAAGCACGGTGGATTCATCTTTTCTACTGGACATTGAATAGATATGTACTTTGACATGCACTGAGTCAATATAGAATAATATGACTAGTATGTGGAAATGAGAGAGAAAATCTGTTTTTATTCAAAACCAGTCTTCTTCAAAATGTTTGAGAGGTCATTAAAGGGTGTTCTGTGAAGAAAGTTGCTTGTCAAAAAAAATTGGTAAACATTGGATGAAACCAAGTTACCTTATTATTTTACCATTAGACTACACTTAGAGTCTTAATAATCTTAACATGATGCAACTATGACTTTTTCAGAATTGGGAAACATGAGTGCCTCACATAATTATTTCTCATTGCATTTGTTTTAATATCTTTTTGAATAATGTTCTGCAAGAACAAATTTGGGAAATGTTGATGGGGTGATATTATATAGTAACAGGCAGTTGAGGAGATACTCTCTCTGGTTCTCTAAATGCATATCCTTCCCTCAATTTCTATCACATGTCTCTGCTATTGCTCAGAAGTTGTCTTATTTTCCTGAACCCCACAATGACCTCCCATGGCCTGTCTCAATCTTTTCCAACTGGTGCCGTATACTGACACAAGCATGATTTTTCTAAGATATAAATGTTGCATGTCATTTCTTTGTTTACAAATTCCCAATACCTCCAGACTGCACTGTAGCACTGTCCTCCATTGTTCATCAATTTGCTGGAGCAGGCCCAGTAACATCTCCATTGTAAGACTTGTTGTTACTGACTTTGGCATATCTAATATTTCATGGGGAGCTTGGCAGGCTTTGCTATGCAGGTGAGATACTCTCAGTAGCTTGCCGGGCTCTCCGAGAGGGGCGGAGGAATTGAACCCGGCTCCACCAGGCCTGCCACGCACAAGGCAAACACCCTACCACTGTGCTATCGCTCCATACTGCATGCAGGCTCATTTCCAAACTCCTAGGTTCCTTTGTACTAAAGCCTATTTACTAATCCAGAGCCCAAACCAATCAGCATGTGGTATTTCTGAATCTTCATGTGAGAGATTCAAGAGGGTGGTATACAGGGCGGGTTTTGGTTGACTGTATCTGGAAGGACTAGACATTGAATATTTATAGGAATAAATCATCTATAGAAAAACAATAGCTTAAGACAATATAGCTCCTTTGAAAAGTTCTTTAAGAGGATTAATGGTAAACAAAGTAGAAAATTCTGAAATTCTCTCACATACGTGTTTCTTTAGTTTGTGGGAGAAGACAAACACATATACTATCTACATATCTGTGTGGTCTCTTCTCTAAGTGTTGCTTGGTCTTTAAAAATGTTGAAATACCACTGATCCTAATCCAGCATAGTGATGGCCTGATTAAAATGTGGAAGAGCGTCAGTGACCAAATATTTAGGTTGGCACATTTTATTTTTAGTCTCATCAAAAGTTAGTTCTATCAAAGGCTACAGGTCAGTTTAGCTGAGTACATAACACATGAGGAAAATACGAAGCTATTATGTAAATGCTTATTTTGACAATGGGAATCCAGGGGATAAAACTATTTTGGTATGCAGCAATTTTTTGCTACATGACAGTGTTGACAATCTGCCAAATTGATGAGTCCCTGATGCTTAAGCCATAACTCAGCCACAACCACACCTTCCTGGAAGATGGGTTTGAAATGAGAAAACAAATGAGAGCAAAGTTCAGTACTGTGCTTTCCACAGTTGTGTATTTGTTCATAATTCTTAGTATGTCTAATTTCTCATGAACCATATTTGCTTTCACTCTGAAGTCATTTCCTCCTCCACGCTTTTGTTGGCAAATCTTAGCATGCTTCTATCTAAAAGGTTAGTAGAGCTAATTTCTGTCTTAAGCTAAAACAAATGGTCCCATTACCCACTGCAGAAATACCCGAGAAAACATGATAATGTCCTTATATGTTACAAAATAAGAAACTACTATATAAGAATATCTATAACATCCCAAATTTAACTTTTTATTATCTTGTATTTATTTCAATATGACATCTTTTAAAGGTCAGAAGACTCGGTAACAGGAAACATTCATTAATTAATTAATTTATTGATCTACTTATGTTGAATCACAGTGAGATACACAGTTACAAAATTATTTGTGATTTGGTTTCAGTAAAATAGCGTTCCAATACCCATCCCTTCACCATTGTACATTTCCCACCACCAATGTCCTTATTATTTTCAACAGATAATGTATTTTAGATATCAGTTAATGACATGCTAAAACCAATTGCATTTCCTTTTCTTCTCTGACTGGGAACTCAGAGATAAATGATATAATAAGTTTTAGGTAGTATATTTTCATAGTTTTTGGTTTGTTTATCTTTCCATCCCTATTATTTTATTTTGCTAGTGTTTTGTCAATTATTTTTCTTGCTTTCTTTCTCCCTTTATGTTTTGAACACTCTCTCTCTCTCTCTCTAGCATCACACTATTTTTCATTTTATAGTACTTATGCATATTTTGGGCTTATATTGAATGACTCAACTTGGAATATACATTATAAATAGTTAATAAAATATTGTTTGCCATTCACAAAACTTGAATAAACATGAAGTTCCCAGAAAGCTTATTTAGTCTCCTACTCCCATGTTTGTCAAAGTTCTAGTTTGTGAGACTTTCTTTGCCTTGTTATAGAAAGAAAAACTAAGGAATAAAGAGAAAAATTAAAAAGAAAAGGAAAAACAAACAAATTCAACACTCAAACTTTTTGCACATATTCCATGAATATGTGCAGTGCTTGCCTTAACCAATGTTCTACATTCATCAAATTGTAATTGTCAGATTCTGAAGCAAACATGGATCATCTTAGGATAGCTGTAAATCCAAATATAAGAGAGAAATCAAATCAAGACGAGGATAAGAAGAGTTTTATTACCACTGAGGTCTTTCGGAGACTCAGCCTGTCAGTCCTTGTTCTGAAATAAGCCTCATCAAATGATGAGTGACTCCCCTTCAGCTTCTCAGAAAGGTTCCTGTACAGGCGTTTGGCAGCATTGGGAGAGGACGGAGCACTATGTTTTTTTGATTGAGAAAGATGTAAATTCTGCATCTGTTGCGTCATTTTCACCCGGAAATTCCTAAGAGAAAGAAAACCTAATGTTGTATAATTTACATAATGTATTCATTGCCAAAGATTCTCCTCCATCTCCAATAAGCTTCTGGAATCCCAATAAAGTGACCTGAGAGATCATCAGATACAGCTTCTTTCATTTCTAGATGAGAATGCTACCTAGGGAAGGGATAGCAATTTGTTTATGACCTCAAACCTGATTGGTGGCAGGAGTAAAATTATAACCTCTAATTAACATGTAGACATATTCATTTACATATAAACATAATATGTATGTCATAAATCTCTACCTAAAATCCTTTGATCTCTATACCACTGTATGGAAGCACCTCAATTTTATAACCTATTGGGGTCTGCTCAGTTCTTGATTATATGTAATTGGAATCATTCCACTTACCTCCTTCTAGATGCTGCCCTCTGTTGGGTATATATGAGAGTGTGGTTACTCCCTGCAGATCCATCTTCTCCAGAGATGTAAAAATGAGCCTGTTGTGTGAGACTTGATGAACTACCTCAATGTTTGAGGGATTGAGGTGGGGGATTTAAGGAATTTGCATTCATTGGTCCATCCCTGTTTACCTGCTCACCCCAGAGTCCCAAAAGTATGTCTCTTCTTCAGAACATGTGCTCTGGGCATTCTTCAAGGAGTGCCACTCTTAAGTCTCTTACTAAAGAGATCAATAGATCTCTTAAGTAAGTGCTAACCAATGTCGTACCTGAAGACAGTTTCTTGGATATTGCCATGCCATTTCAAAAGTCATCTATCACTATGTTGGGTATTACTATTGAAATACTGATTTCACCAGATTAAGGCTATCTGGCATGGTAGGGTTCTTTCTGATTTAAGTTCAAACTCATGGTGACATTACTCTCTGCAAAAATACTCTTTCAGAGCATGTTGATATACCGATTTTTAAAATGTTCTTTATAGAGGGCCAATATATGAAACTACTATATGAGGATGTTCATAACACCCCGACCATTACTTTTTAGTTTTCCACTATGACATCTGATAAAGGCCAGAGTACTTAATAATAGAAAATATTCATTTCTCTAAACAAATTATACTTTCAGTTATTAGTTAATGGGCTTCTACAGCCATGCATATATAGTAGAGCAGAACTTCTTTTTACACCATGACCTCTTTTCAACTAGAAATGCAACTTGAGTGAGCACTGCCAGAAACATATCATATTAATTATATGTTTTATTTTAAATAAACATTTAGTCCTTGCAAGTTCCAAAATATTTCACTGTTCTCAATTTTTTTGGTGACCTCAGTTACATGACGCCAAATGGTGATGTGATTCACTGTTTAAGAAGTTAGGTATTAGATAAATACATACATGAATGAAATAACTGGTCAAGGCAATGATGTACAAAATGTCTCAGTGTCTGAAGCAGCCTCTGACAAACTCGGCTTAGGTCTCTCTAGAGCATGCTCCTGCCTTTGCATCATCTTTACTCTTTTCTAATGGAATTTTCCATTTATAATGCTGCCAGTGCTACTGAACTGTAACCTTCTAGTCATGTCCACTCCTTGAAATGTTGTAGACCAATAGAGCCCATGATATAATATCACTCAGAAACATTTTAATTGACAGACATCTACATAAGGTTGACTTTAATGATATCCCACTTCCAATGAGATAAAATCTAAATGTCTTATGCTCACATACAGGTGCTTATCTTTTTCAGTTTCATCTCTTCCTTTATCCCTACCTTTTGTGCTTCAGACTTCAGACTAGAATTTCCAAAATCATACAAATTCATTTCACGTAATACTGCTTTTTATATATTGGAATTCTATCTGTGGTTCATGACACAGGAAATGTTTGCTGAGCTCTAAAGTCTATGCTCAAGAGATCTCCTACAACTCCTGGCAAATTGAAGTATTTCTTTATTCAAAACTTAATATTTATGTCTATTATACAAATAATCTTACTGGGTTACAACTGTTTCCTTATCTTTTCCATCTAAACCATGCATCTTGAAAACAAGAGTTGCCAAGTATTACTTTTCATGTTGCTGGTTACTGTCACTGTAACTGTCCTCCCGTTGTTCATTGATTTGCTGGAGTGGACCCAGTAACATTGTGAGATTTTGTTACTGTGTTTGGCATATCGAATACTTCACGGGTAGCTTGCCAGGCTTTGCCATGCGAGCAAGATACTCTCGGTAGCTTGCTGGGCTCTCTGAGAGGGGTGGAGGAATCGAACTCAGGTCGGCCGTGTCAGTCGCGTGTAAGGCAAATGCTTTACCCGCTGTGCTATTGCTTTGCTGGTATATAACTAAAATGTGCATGTAAAAACATGCACCAGGTAAAAGAAACATAGTTGAGATTAGGATGTGAATTGCTATTAATCCATCTACTGACTATATGATTTGGGGAAAGTTACTTGACATGTCTGAATTTAATTTCTCTAATTTATGAAATGGGTATAATAATGTCTACATACTCTGGTGTGATAATTCAATGAGCTAATGCCTGCTAAGAGCTCGAAAGAAAGGAAGATTCAAGGTAACCATCAGTTTTTAATAGAGTATCCTCAAAAGATACTTTAGACTAAATGAATGCACATATTCTACAAATATGACATAGTAAGGAGCTACTAAGAAAGCTCATTTCCTTTCTTCTGCCTCATATTGGATTCTGTGTCTACAAGCTTCAAGTAACCCTGACTTACTTTCATTTTAACAAATGGAAATTCAGAAAAGCAAACCTAAAGCAAACTTCTAAAAAAAAAAACGAATGGAAATTCACCTTCATTACATTGCCCAATGTCTTTAGACCCTTTTTATGCCTTGTTTCCATTTTCCTTCAAGACCAAAAGACTCCCAAGTGTCTTCCAAGGTCATAGTCAGCATTACTCATGTCTCTTAGGCTCTACTCTGTCTTAGCTAAATAGGCACATTTATATTGGGGAGGAGGATTTAAAGCACCATCTGTAGGGTGAGTGTTTGCATTTTCAGAAACATTTAATGATCTTTAATTTACACAAAAGCAGAAATGGAAGAGTAGGTGATTTGGCACCTTTCCTTTTCATCTGAAAATCCTTTGCTTTTCATGCAATAACAGCTATTGCATTTCTTCTATTTCGTTTCCATCTCCCCAAACTTCCAGATTGACATGAAAGCTGGCTCACACGGGGATTGCCTTAACCTCTTTCTCTCTGCCTTCTGTCTCTAGCATTTTCCTGCAACATTAAATGCCCCAGTTCAAGCCATCTGTCTTGTCTACATGATTATCTTTCCCAAAATAACTACATTCTTTTGTATCTCCCACAGTGCCCAGGAGTCCAGCAAATAAATTCTTGTTGATTGATCAAATTCCAGTAACTTGCCCTCTAACTAATGACACCTACCCACATGGCCCCTTTTGTCTTTGCTCACCTCCCATCTGTTCCCTTCAGTCAAAGTAGGTGGACTTTCTCTTCTCTTTGATTCCCTTCTCATACTCTCCCAGCTGTCCCTCCCTCCCAGGCCATCCTCTAGTATGCTTCTGTTCTTCTAGATTTCACCTCTCATTATACTTTCTTTTTCATCCTCTATATTTAAATTTTCATCTGACGAGAAACCGTAAGAAACTCGACTTTCTGTGCTTTGTTTGTTCCTATAGACACATATGTCACTCACAGCTAAACTCTCAAATTTTTGCCTTTATGGAAAGGGACAAAGACTTAATATATAGTGTAGTTTTGGCTTTAGAATTCAGCGAAGAAAAATTTAAATCATAATTTTTGTTATCTATAGTCTCATGACTTTTTTAACTTTATTTAACCATGTATTTTATAACCAAATACTGGTTAAACTCCACAAGAAGAAAACATCCAACCCCATCCAAAAATGGGGCAATGAAATGAACAGAAACTTTCTCAAAGAAGAAATCCGAATGGCAAAAAAGCACATGAGAAAATGCTCTACATCATTAATCATCAGAGAGATGCAGATCAAAATCACAATGAGATACCATCTCACACCTCAGAGACTGGCCCACATTCAAAAGAACAAAAGCAACCAACGCTGGCATGGATGTGGCGAGAAAGGGACTCTCCTTCACTGTTGGTGGGAATGTCGACTGGTTCAGCCCTTCTGGACAACAGTATGGACGATTCTCAAAAAATTAGAAATTGAGCTCCCATTTGACCCAGCAATACCACTCCTGGGAATATATCCCAGAGAGGCAAAAAATTATAGTCGAAGTGACATCTGCACTTGTTTGTTCATTGCAGCACTCTTTACAATAGCCAGAAACTGGAAGAAACCTGAATGCCCAAGAACAGATGACTGGTTAAAGAAACTTTGGTACATCTACACAATGAAGTACTATGTAGCTGTTAGAAAAGATGAAGTCATGAAATTTACATACAAGTGGTACAATATGGAAAGTATCATGCTAAGCGAAATGAGTCAGAAAGAGAGGGATAGACATAGAAAGATTGCATTCATCTGGGGGATATAAAGTAACAAAGTATGAGATTAATACCCAAGAATAGCTGAGATCAGCACCAGGATGATAACTCCATAACTTAGAGGCCAGCCGGGTATCCTAGAGGAAAGGGCAGTTCAGATAGAGAAGGGAGCACCAAATAAAGGATGTTTGGAGGATCCTCCCAGGAGGGGAGATACATGTCGAAAGTAGACTATGGACTGAACATGTTTGCCACTCAATACCTCTTTTGCAGACCACAACACCCAAATGGAGAGAGAGAACACAGGGGATTGCCCTGCCACAGAGGCAGGGGGGGATGGGGGGATGGGGGTGGGAGGGATATTATCCATGGTGGTGAAAAACGGGCACTGGTGGAGTGATGGGTATCTGATCATTGTATAATTGAAACCCAAGAACAAAAAATTGTAAATCTACAACTGTAAAAAAAAAATAATAATAAAAAAATAAAATTTAAAAAAAAAAACATAGGCTCAGAGTCCATGGATGGTGCAGAACGGTGCTGGAACTTCTTCAGAGCCTCATCTTCAGGGCACTGTCAATGTAGACCTCTAGTG